AGTCTTTCTCATTCCTGATGTAAATTACTTCATTTATCCAAATGCATATTAAGTGAGTTAGCAAGGGCCCGTATTAATCACAGCATGACACCTGTGTGTGCAAGTACTACATAGGAATTTACTCAGCTCATTTGCTTTTCATCATTGTTTGCTTGGGATTGAAAACAGAATTTAGAAAGAGAAGCATGCTTCAGAATCCTAGTTCTAGAGAATAAACAAATGGAAACATGGAAATTGTGTCTTATGAAAACACTTTAAAGGGAAAAATACATTTTAATCATAGAAGAAAACATCTAGAAGTAAAGCTTATTCAAACCATAGAGAAAACAAATCCTCATGTAGCTAGTTTTCTTCATATTGCTAAGTGTTAAAGAGAATTTATCAGTCATTGTTTGGTAGCTTGTGAGCAGGGATGGCTATGCATCTATATATTACCAAACTCTTGTGTCTGTAACCTTGAGCTGGGCAAAACAGTGCATCATGGACAACAATTTTTGAACCAAGGTACCTCAAATGGGCTAACTTACAGAATACATCCAAAATCTGGGACCGATTACTCCTATAGGATTTAAATTTTGGGCCGCTTCAGCACTGCTGTGCTGCCACACTGCCACAGGCAGCTCAAGTTGTGTGATCATCATGAGTGTATTCCAGACCTCTTTCCCGCCTCCCTCTGTCCCCTTCGCCCAATCAGCTGGCGGCAAGGCCTGACGGGTGAGCGGCAATTGGCTGCTTTGGAAACAAGACAAATCTGAAATCTCTTGACGGTGGTGGGCACTGAGGGAAGAATCAGGGAGCAACTTGGATGCCTGCTGGTAAGGTAGGGTTGAGTGGGGAGTGATGGAAAATGGGTGAGCTCTCTTCCTCCCTTGAGGGAGGGGGCCCTTGGATACATACTGGAATGGGGAGCAGGGATGCAGTTTTCCTCACGGTCTGCGGCTCTCTTTGTTCCACCTCCCCCCAGGAAAGTGGCAGGCAGTTCCGTGGGTCAGCTGAGGAGGAGAAGAAGGCTTCATCGAGGCTCTTCTGAGTGTTTGAGGGGAGGGCAAATGACACAAGCCTATATTATATGTGGGAAAGAAGGAAAAGGAGGGAGGGGGAAAGGAGGGAGGAAGGAAGGAGGAAGAAAGGGAGGGAGGGAGGAAGGAAGGAAGGAAGATTTCTGACACTTCCTGCCAGCTTCCCACAAGCAAAGTCAATGGGGAAGCCAGCAGCAAGTTGTAAGTCGCTTATACTCCAACTGCTTTTTTTGCCCTTGGTCATTCTGTTTCTATGTTTAGGTAAGGAAATATCTCTGAAACGATGACCCAACGGGTCATGGGCTGTCTAGTTGAGTTATAAAAAGGAATCTGACAAATGAAAATTATCCAGAATGGTATGGATTTTATACCTATGAATGAACTTTAGTGAAAATTATTCAGAAATACTTTGAAATTAATCAAAATTGCATTTTTATTCAAAAGTCACACAAGACAAAAATATTTGTATATCTATGTTTGAACAATAATTTTCAGTACATGAATGCACTGGATAATGGATGCAGGTGGTAGCACCTGTCTGACCTTGTCTGGGCTCAAAGTTAAGCATGGTCAATCTGGTTAGTTAATTCGATGGGAAATTACCAGAGAATGCCTGGGCTGTAGGCTAGACTGGAAAGTTGAAAGGACAACCCAGAAGACAGTGACAAACTATTTCTGTACTTTTGTCAAGTAAACTGGATGGGTGTGTCCATGAAAACACCAAGAATCAGTCTTGATTCAAAGGAGACTTGACCTGCAAAGTATACTATGATACTATGCTGTTACATCTCTTAAACTTGTACTGTATACTCTTTATATAGCTGTTTGGGAATTATATGTCAGGGATAGAATATTTATTTATTCAAAACATTTATATGACTACCCAATTCAAACAATGTGGCTGTGAGCAGTGTATAAAAATCATAATCAACAAATGCAAAATGTAAAGGAAGACAATGCATACTGTTAAAAAAACAACTAAATAAAATGGCAACCAGAAAAAATATTGCTCTAATTAATATTACTTACCCACTCAGACTCTTCCTTTTCACCTGCCAAGAAGTTTTTGCCTGCCAGTGAATTTTGTGCACTAAATACATTATGTTCACTTATTTCAGCTGTCTAGCACTTTTTCCCCTGCCAAATGTGTTAGGGTTATTGATTGATGGTTGACAATTACCTCTACAAATGTGTGTATCCACACCATAATCATAACAAGGATATCACACTAATCAATTACATCCACAGTGGGCAAAAACTTTTTGGACATAAGTTTTTAACACTAGTGGCAGGCAAAGAAGGAAGAAGAGCTCCAACTCATATTAATATAGTTAATATTGGGAATATTGGGATGTGTGTGTGTATTAACTCTGGTTCCAGTACTTTTTTGATCTTGTGTACTTTTTCCCTTGGCCACTGGAACCAATACAGAACCAAAAGCAATCCTTAGCCCATCAAAAGATTGCCTGCCCTTGAATATGGTAACTTAGTTGTCTGAATGTGTTCACAGACTATATAAATGATCAGAATAAGTTGGCTTCATATCTTCATATAGGTAAAGCTCTGTTGACATATATTTAACCCTAAATTACTGCATACAGTTTTATACCTCTGTACTAAGAAGTAAGTTTATTTCCAATTAAGTGTATGCATTTGCAACCTTATGAGATGGACGGCTTATAAATTTATTACATAAATAAATAAACCTACACATTTAGAAATCTTTAATAAAAATATTGAGACATGAGAAAATTCCTAAATAGTTATATAAAAGGGACTTTCAACATACGTAAACCAATTTAAAAAGCTTTTCTGAGGCATTTTAAAGCAATTTGCTCCTATATTCTATTTTTCTGTTCTCTTTGTCTTTTT